AGTTGATAGTTGATAGAAGATAGTTTTAGAGAGTTGTTTAGAAAGAAGGCTATGTCATTGATTTCTTGGAGGATACATTACAAGATACCAAATATCTATTTATAGGCTCAAGTCACCAACCTCTCAATGTGGTGAATGTTTCTACATTACTTTATATTTTTCTAGAGTTTTCATGATATGTTTGTATCATGATAGTTCTAGGTTCTTATATCTTTTACATACACTTATACTTCTAGATTATTCTACCATACTCATACACACTATAGTTTCTAGGGTATTCTACCATTACCATACATATTATATTTAGAATATTCTAGAAATTTGTAGCAATTTCAACACTCCTCCTTGATGCAAATTTCTGTAACTCTAAGCATAGTTCACAGCTTTTCAAATCTTGGTCTCGGTAACGCCTTCGTGAATATGTCTGCAATTTGTTCTTCTGTTTTGCAGTATTCGAGTTTGATCTCCTTAGTTGCTTCAGCTTCTCTAATAAAGTGATACTTGATTGTTATGTGTTTTGTTCTACTGTGATACACTGGATTTTTCGCCATTGCAATTGCTGATTTGTTGTCACAATTAATTGTAGGTTCATCTTGTTTTTCTCCCATGTCTTCAAGTATCCTACAAAGCCATATAGCTTGACTCGTTGCTTCAGCAGTAGCCACATACTCTGCTTCTGCTGTTGATTGTGCAACTGTAGCTTGCTTCTTCGATGCCCAAGAGAAAATTCCCGATCCTAGTGAGAAAGCATAGCCAGAGGTGCTCTTCATATCATCTACCAAACCTGCCCAATCACTATCAGTGTAGCCAAGTAATCCTGAGTTGTTTTCGATAGTGTACCATATACCAAACTCTTTTGTTCCTTGTAGATACCTTAAAATTATTTTTCCTGCTCCAAAGTGTATTTGACCTGGGCTTTGCATGAATCTTGATAGAAGACTTGTAGCATACATTATGTTTGGCCATGTAGCTATCAAATATAGAAGGCTTCCAATTAGACTTCGATATTTGGATGCATCAACTTCTAGTGTTCCATCATTCTTCTGTAGTTTCTCATTTGTTATGAGTGGAGTAGCGACAGGTTTGCAACCGTACATATTGAATTTCTTAAGTAAGCCTTATGTGTATTTCTTTTGCGAGATGAATATCCCTTCATTTCTCTGACTTGCCTCTATACCGAGGAAGTAACTCATCAAACCAAGGTCGGTCATATTAAAGGTCTTCATCATGTCTTCTTTGAACTTCATCATCATCTTGGTATTGTTTCCTGTGTAAATAAGGTCATCTACATATAGAGAGAGTAAGAGAGTGTACTGACCTTGAGACTTGATGTAAAGTGTAGGCTCACTCTTTCTCCTCCTGAATCCTTGATCTATGAAATACTGATCAATTCTACTATACCATGCTCGAGGTGCTTTCTTTAAACCGTAAAGTGTTTTTCTTAGTCTTAACACTTTGATTTCTTCGCTTTCAGAAATGAATCCTTTTAGCTGCTCCACATAAATCTCTTCTTCAAGTACACCACTGAGGAAGGCTGATTTGACATCTAGTTGCTGGATACTCCACCCTCTTTGTGCCGCAATAGCTATTATAGTTCTAATGGTATCAAGACGAGCTACTGGTGCAAATGTCTCATTGTAGTTAATCCCATGTTTCTGTGAGTAACCCTTAGCTACTAACCTTGCCTTGTGTTTATGTATGGTGCCATCAGGGTTGAGCTTTGTCTTATAGACCCACTTAACACCAATGATATCTTTTCCATGGGTACGATTTACTAACTCCCATGTGGTGTTTTTCTCGATCATCTTTATCTCTTCTTCCATTTCCTTTACCTATACTTCTTGCTTTGTTGCTTCTTCAAAGCTTCCAGGTTCAAGTATGGCCAAGTTACAGGTTTCATATATGTCCATCAAAGATCTTACTCGTCTTGGAGTAGACTCTGGTGATGATAATTCTTGATCATGTTGTTGTGGTGGAGGTGAAGAAGGTTCACCTGGGCCTTCTTCCTCAGATTCTTCTTGAGGTAGTTGAGCTAGTATAAGGATGTTCTTCTCCATTTTTTCTTCATCCCAATTCCAAGAAACGTTCTCATCAACTTCAACATCTCGACTGATGAAGAATTTTTTAGTTTGCAAGTTGTAGACATGGTAGCCTTTAGAGATTGTGTTATACCCCAGGAAGATACCTCGTATAGTTTTCTCTTCAAGCTTGTGCCTCTTCACGTCTGGAATATGAATGTAGCATATAGATCCAAAGACCCTTAGGTGCTTTGCTGACGGCTTCTTCGCATTCCAAGCTTCAATTGGAGTCTTATCTTCTACTGATTTAGTTGGACATCTGTTAAGTATGTAAACAACAGTATAGACTGCTTTTCAACCCAGAATATGTCAGGAAGTCCCTTCTCCTTGAGCATCTATCTAGCCATCTCCATAAATGTGCGATTCTTTCTCTCAGATACACCATTTTGTTGAGGAGAATATGAGAATGTAAGTTGTCGCTCTATGCCTTCATCCTCACAAAAGCTGTCAAACTCGCGGGAGGTGTATTCTTTGTCGCGATCACTTCTTAGTACTTTTATCAGTGTTCCACTTTGATTTTCAACAAGGACCTTGAAATTTTTGAATACTCCAAAGACTTCTGATATTTCTTTTAGGAAATATACCCATGTCATTCTAGAGAAGTCATCAATGAAGAGTATGTAGTACCTGTTGTTCTCGTGTGATGGCGTCCTCATCGGTCCACAGACATCAGTATGAATTAGCTCCAACAGATCTTTTAGTCTCCATGCTCCTCTTGTTGAGAACGGAAATTGGTGTTGCTTACCAAGAAGACATCCTTCACACACTTCATTGTTCTCCTTTATGCTTGGAAAATCTCTCGTCATGTTCTTATCATGTAACAACTTTAAGGCATGTGTGTTGAAGTGGCCAAATCTTCGATGCCAGAGCCATGAATCATCAACTTGTACCTTCATGTCAATGTTAGTTGTATGTTTTAAATTTAGCGGGAAGCTTATATTGCTCTTATTCATCTTCACTTGGATTATCTCGGCCCTTTTATTTTTGTTGTCTAAGATTTTGCATACTCCTCCTTCAAAGTGAAGTGTGTAGCCTCTCTCCATCATTTGACCAATGCTTAGAAGATTTTCTTTAAGGTCGGGGACTAGTAAGACATCATGGATGAGTTGTGTACCTTTATCTGTCTCCACCATGACAGTGCCTACTCCTTTTGATTCAACCACACCGCCATTTCCCAGTCAAACTTTGACTTTGACAGACTCGTCAATGCTTTTGAAAATAGTCTCATCCTTGGCCATATGATTGCTACATCCACTATCCAAGTACCAACTTCCTCCATTTTCTTTGACTGAGTCTTGAGTGGCATAGAACATACATTATTCTTGATCATTCTCCTCTACTATATTAGCTTGATGCCTATTTTTGTTGCGACGATTTTTCTCTACATGCTCAAACTTCTTGCAATGGTGCATTGTGGCATATTACGGAACCAATGATTTTTCTCTTTGTGACTCAGTCTTTTGCATATAATGCATGGGGTATTTTTATCTGTTTTGTTCTTAAGGAAATTCCTAGAACCTTCTCTTCTTCTTGAAGTTTCTCCATAATTTTTCTTTCCTCCATTTTCTTTGTTTTGGGGATGAAATTTGAGCTTTGACTGGAAGACATTTTCAAGTGTATCTTCTTTATGCCTATACATTCTTTGTTCATATGCTTCAAGAGAGCCCACAAGTTATGTCACTAATAGAGTGGACATATCTTTGGTTTCTTCAATCGTTGTCACGATTGGGTCAAACTTTGGAGGCATAGTAATTAGAATTTTCTCAATAATTTTCTTGTCAAGAATGTCTTCCCCAAAAGCTCTCATTTGATTAACTATTTCTTTAACTTTAGAATAGTAATATTTAACTATCTCAGACTCCTTCATCTTCAATAGTTCAAAATCTCTTCTTAGAGATTGAAGATTGACAACATGTACCTTAACGCTTCCTTGAAACTCCTCCTGCAATGTGTTCCACGCTTCTTTGGCATTCTTAGCTCCCATAATTCTTGGGAAAATTGCATCAGTTACCGCTTGTTGCAAGGTGAACAATGCCTTTGAATTTTTCTGTTTATTTTTCTTCAACTCTTTTTCTTGAGCTGCATTAAGAGCTGAAGTATCTGCGGGAACAATGAATCCTTCTTCTACTATGTCCCATAAATCTTGAGAAGAAAAAATGTATTCATTTTAACACGCCAGAAATCAAAATTTTCACCATTGAAAATAGGGACAGAAATAGTTGATGATTGAGTGGTGTTATCCATGTCTTAGACAAATATTGGAGTGGTTTAATAGTACAAGGGAAATTTTTGAAGTCGTTGGGAGGAATTTGAAATGATATGTATTAATTTAACTACGCCCAATGTATGACCGAACGTAGCTCCGATGTCACTGTTAGTAGTGGTTTAGTTGATAGTTGATAGAAGATAGTTCTAGAGAGTTGTTTAGAAAGAAAGCTATGTCATTGATTTCTTGGATGATACATTACAAGATACCAAATGCCTATTTATAGGCTAAGTCACCAATCTTTCAATGGTGGTGAATGTTTCTACATTACTTTAGATTTTTCTAGAGTTTTCATGATATGTTAGTATCATGATAGTTCTAGATTCTTCTATCTTTTACATACACTTATAGTTCTAGATTATTCTATCATACTCATACAAACTATAGTTTCTAGGATATTCTACCATTACCATGCATATTATATTTAAAATATTCTAGAAATTTATAACAATTTCAACAAAAACCTTAAATCATTTGATATATGAACCCTTTCATAATGCCTACATAATCATAGCTATGCATACATGAAAAACAAAGGGCTATAACACCACAATATTTCCAATGAAAACTGTAGTAACATTGCATTATAAGTTAACTCTAAATATATGACTATTAGAGTTTTCTTGCATTGATATGGACACAAGATATCCATCTTGTTACAATTTAACCAGATGACTAATATCCATTGGGTATGCAAAGGCTGGAACAGGAGCATCATAAGCCATATTTGCTAACACTTTGTTGACCATCTCAGATGGATGAAATTCATCAAAAAACGGATGCAAATTTCTGTCCAGGCATGGTTCCTCATTAGGGATACACTGCCCGCTTGATCCCACTTTGCAACACGTCAAAATTTTGATATCTGAAATCCAACCAAAGTTAATAAGATACATACAATAAATTTGTTGAGAATGGTGATAATTATGATTGAGTTATTATGAGAAGAAAAATGGTTTAAAATTTAAATACCTTGCTTGAAGCTATTTTCTGTTATGATAGCAGTGTTAATGAAGATGAATTTTGCATCAGGTAATTCTTTGTTGAAACGGTCAACAACGGCTTTAAGTTTGTTATTGAAAACTAGTGCTGCTGTATTTTGTTCTTCAATACACAGTGAACCATTTTTCCCGTGTGGAACGCAACCTATAAGCGACAATCCAAACAAAGAAAACTTTCTTGCACCAAGCTCATACAAAGCTTTTAAATAAGTCATATGTTCTTGGATAAGAGCTACAGCATACTGGTTAGTATTGTACTTTCCGTTAGTTGGATAATGTTGTGGCAGAAAGTAATTGTTAAGGTAATCATTGCTTCCTGTATTTACATAATATAAGCACTTATTAAGGTGTTGTTGCACTTTGTCACTTCCAAGTTTTGTGGAGATTTGAGAAACAATATCTTTGTGATGTTCTAATTGCAATCCCATGCTTATATCTTGACCCTGCAACATTTTCAACATGATTACTAAATTTGTGATGTTCTAATGAGCCATATGATATAAACTTTCAATCCAATGCGCAACATTGAATTACCATGTGTGTTCCAGTCTCATTGCGAATTCCTGCTGCACCAGATGCATAATTAACACCTTCAACAATGTTTGAATCTTTGGTATTTGCATAGGGTGGAATGTAATGGTCAAATCCCAAAAGATCAGCTGCAATATTAGAATTACAGGTTCAATATAAATGCAACAAAAAATGCAAACTCTGTACGTGATTAATTTGGTTAAGTATAATTACTGATTATGTCAACTGAAGTAAGGCCATTGGTAAATCTTCCAGTAGGCCCATCAGGAAAATCAATTCCATAAGGTTTGTAATTAGCTTTGGCATCGGTAGCAAGGTCGTTGTTATTTCCATTATCCGATAAAGAATCTCCAAAAATGAAAATACAAGGTACTTGGGGCTCTCCAATAGCACAATGCATTGCACTGGAAAACAAAAAAAGAACTAGCAGCCATAACTTAGCCTCACAATCCATTTCAAATGTCACAAATCAAAAGTTTGTTATCACTTATGATCTAAAGTATTTTGAGTTCAAGCACAAGATTACAATGGAAGCTTAAAATATACATTGAGAGAGGGTACCTATATTTATCATAAGCATCGTAAAGTTGCATGCATGTAGTGTTAGATAAATGAGGGGAAACTGCAAAAGAGAAGACTAGTTCAATTGTTTATCATGCATTTATCTACCGTAAAATTCTCATGTTAAGAAAAATCGACAAGTGTATACATGTTTATAGGACACTATATATTGTTTTCCGCTACGTGTTAGATATTCATTGACATGTTTTTAAATGTTTATATTTTTTATACTGTATTAATTTTAATTTGTCTTCAACATTAATTTTTTTTTTATATTCAACCTTTTAAGCACTTCATTTATTTACTTATATCCTCCCTGTTAGATAAATATTAGAAATCTGTTATATTTTGAATTAGTCTTTTATTAGTTCTGACTTAGTATTTATCAGCTGCTATTTTTTAGGATAGAGTTTGTTTTCAACTTCTCTACCCACGTTGCAAGTTGTAAAACGTGGGTCTTAGGTTTATTTCAGTTTCATGTAATTGGCTATATAATAGCCTCAGTTTATTGAATAAAGTACATCCCTTCAGTGCATTTTTTCTAAGCTTTCTGTTTTAACAATCCCACCATCCTAAAATAATTGTTATAGTTAATTATTTCACACGAATTAAGAAAATATGATACGTGAAAGAGATAAAAAAAATTTATTGCACTTATATTGAATAATTGATGTATTTGGTTACAATGATGAATGAGACAAAGTCATTTTCATTTTTCTTCCAATTTTTAATGGCAAGAACATGGAGCGATGACATAAAGAGATGAAATCTCTCTTTGACTTTCAAGATACTCTTGAGGTGATTATTGTAGGGGCAATTCCGAGGAGAGAGCATTTTACTTGGGACACACCTTTGTGAGAGACACACCACTTGTCCATCTAAAACCTTAAGGTTTTAGATGGACAAGTGGTGTGTCTCTCACAAAGGTGCGTCCTAAGTAAAATTCTCTCTCTTCGGAATTGCCTCTACAGTGGTATCATGAGCCTTTGGTTTCGAGATAGGGACCGACTTACTTGTATCAAGCGGTGGTACAAGTGTATGTGGATGAGATTCATTCCACGTGAGGGGGAGCATTGTGACTCACACTTGAGGGGGAGTGTTGAGAATCAAGTGTGGGGAAGAAGTCCCACATTGATTATAAAAGGGAAGATTGAGCACTTATAAGTGGGAGAACCCACTCATCTATCACCTTAAGGTTTTAGATGGACAAGTGGTGTGTCTCTCACAAAGGTGTCTCCCAAGTAAAATGCTCTCTCCTCGGAATTGCCCCTACAATTATCAATGATGTCTTTGAGCTTGCAGCAAACACAACTGAAGCTCAATGCGCTATTCACAAAGATTCTAAGAAGAAGGTCTGCAAGGCGTTATTTTGCATTCAATCAGCGGTTGGAGGTGTAAACTTTGATAGGATTGCTCATGTGACTGCGAAAGAGGCATGGCATATTCTTATCAAATATTATGAAGGAGGTGAGAAAGTTCAAATCGTAAAGTTGCAATATTTACGAAGGCAATATGAGTTACTGCATATTGAATACAGTGAGAAATTTGCAGGCCATGTGTCCAAGATGCAAAATCATGAAGATTTGTGGTGAAATAATGAAAAACAAGATGATCATTTAGAAGGTGATGAGAACCTTGACTTCTCATTTTGATCATGTCAGATCTTGTAGGATCATTAAAAACCCATGAATTGAGAATAATTGAAAGAAGATGTGTTCAAGATTCCATTCCGGCTTTGCAAGCTCATACTTGGAAGAAGCATGGTAGATTTAGAAAGTTCAAAGGTAAAAGTGACAAAAGTAATAACAAGAAAGGTTCTTGGTCTCACTCTCAAAGCACAGGAATGATGAGAACCATGAATCCTATAAAAGAGGAGGAGGTTTTCGATCAAGCGCCTACCAATGTGTTAAAAGCAATTATTGTTAGTGAGGACGCAACTATATTTCTTTATATCAAAAATCCTTTAATAGTTTGCGTCTAATACATCATAGGCGCCATGGTTTGGGATGTTAAGTCCATCGAATTGCATCGGTGAAGCTGAATAAATAAATCCAAAAATATCCCCCAGTGACATTTGGGGGGATTCAAACCCATGACCTTTCTCTAATACCAATTTTGGGATCAAGCATCTACACTACAGTAAAAGCAATTGGTGTTAGTTATGTCACAACTTCATTTCCTTAGAGCAAAGAGCCATCAGCATACTGCGCCTAACACATAATAGGCGCCATGGTTTGGAATGTTGGTACAAAAGAGGCAAATGAGCTACTAAAGATAAAGATTTTGATGAAGCAAAAATGGCACAAGAGATTCAAATTATTCTGCAACTATGGTCTTTATGGATGCATTTTTAGATGATTATTCTGATTTTGAAACTTGGTACTTGGACACATGTTTCTCTAATTACATGACTGGTCATAAGGTATGTATAGTGATGGGAGATTCCGCAAGTGCACGGACCTATCGAAATAATATAAAATATTTGTCGAACCCACAAAAACCTTGTCAAACCTATCGTTACTAATTGTTACGATATTTATAAAAGTGTATTAGTATGAATATTTTCCAATACCACAACATACATTTTGGTTTGGAAATATATCTTAGTTTCCACAAAATTTTGCGGGAGGAGAATTGGTGGGTTATAGGGAGGAAGAACAACATAAGGTGATACCTTCTCTATCTCCTTGACAACCTCCTTTCAGGTGGTGGTGGTTTTTTCTTAATCTCTACTCTTTTCTCACCAAAAATTTCCTCAACCTCATTATCACTATCCTTAGGGTTTTCAATTTTTCTTTCACTACTGGTTGTTACAACATTCACATGCTCCTCGAGGAGGGGTCCTAGAGGTTTTTGTTCAACCAGAGAGATTTGAGTCTCCAAGGCCATGTGAGTCGCTAGGAACTCGATCACAATACTCAGCTGCCTAAGGGTTTCATTAATATGGAGATTTTGTTTTCTAAACTCTTCATTTTAGACAGTTTGTGTCGCTACAAAGCGCTTCATCATGGATTCTAGCCTAGAGAGAGTTTGCGCCTCAAGGAAATTCTCCATTATCATTTCGAGGTCGGATTTATGAGCATCTTGTGGTTCCTCAAAAATACCGGGAGTGATAATTATAGATAAAGTTTTTGTGATACATAGTAATAGAGACAAAAGTGCCTTAGTCTATACGGTGTAACAACATGGTACGAAATTTGACGTAGTTGGTCCCCGGCAACGGCGCCAAAAACTTGGCGGAGGATTCCGCAAGTGCACGAAGTAATCAAAGTAATATAAAAGATTTGTCGAACCCACATAGACCAATTGTTAAACATATCGTTACTAATTGTTACGGTGTTTATCTAAGGCGGTTGAATTAAGAATAAGAACGATGAAGTAAATAACTTTATTAAATTTAGATGAATAACAATACTGAAATATAATTCACATCAATTAACAATACTCTAATTGTCTCTACTAAGATTACTTATGTGGCAGTATTTCCTGCTTCGAAAAGAATCAATTTAACGGGAACTATCGCTTTCGCGTATTCAGAATCAAATTTACACTCCAATTAATGCCCTCCATTGTCACTTATGGAAGGTGCTTATCGCGTTAAAGTAGTAAACTTATTTTTAAGAAATTGGACTCTTGACTCAATTGAAAAGTGATTTTGATTTAGAAGTTAACTTAAAAGGGATCCATGGCTTTCGCTCAAGGAACCGGATTTTAAACCTATAAACGGTGCACTTTCGTAAATAGTTTTAGAATCACTTTATAGAAATATTAGACTCCCTAATTAATTAACAAAGTGCTTTCATGGTATTTGTTAATTAAAAACAAACCAATCTTAGTCTTTAGTGTCAGACGACTTTCCATCTTATATGACGTTTTCACCGCATCACTTTCGTAGAGGAAGATTAAAATAAGTTCAAAAAAATCACTTTTAAATCAAAACAGCCCACAAAGGTAATCCTAAAGAGACAACACGTAAAGCACCGTCTGTTGACGATCCTCACATCCTAACACTAATAAATTAGTCGGACATGTTTAATAAAACGTAAATGGTTTTATGTGCGAAAGTAAACATAAGATGGAGAGAAGTAAATGCAAGGTAAATATGACAAGAATGTAAAGGCAAGATAAATAAAGTGTAAATGCAGAATGAATTAAAGACCTGCTCCAAATAGGAGAATTGAATCTGGTACAAACTTGATATAAACTTGACTTGAAAGTAAAATGGTGGCAAGATTAAATCTCATATCTACTATGATCCAACTCGATTACAACCATGGTGCGATAATCCGTCGATGTGACGAATTATCACTTTTACAGAGTAAGTTTATGCCTAATGTTGCAACTAAGAGTGGATGATCCAAATGAGACAATCTAAGGCCTATTTATAGGAAACAAAAACCTTGGGAAGTACAAAACTACCCTTCCTCCATCGATGGGGTTGGTTTCAGCCGCCTGGAAAAAATAAAGGGTGACGGGCGCCATATAGGGATAGCGGGCGCCATCTTCCAATCGTGGGGTAGTGGGTGAGATTCTGCAATTTCCAATAATTGTTTCGCCATTTTCAAAGATGGCGATCGCCATGTAGGGGATGGAGGGCACCATTTTTTGTTGGAGGATACCAAGAGTCCATTTCCATTATGTATATCTCTGTGTTAGCTTTATAATGCATTGAACAGGACATTATTCGGACTTACGAATCAAAAGTTATGGCCAAAATCGTCGGACAACACCACAGAGGAAAAATAACATCTTTTTATTGCAATAAGACTGCAATCGCCTATAATCCTATCATGTGAATTTTCCCTTGTCTTTCTTAGACTTTTCCTTCTCTTTTCTCATTTTTTGGCTTTCTCCATAGCGAATGCCATCTTGAACACCTTGTGTGCACATTGCTCAATTTCTTCCGTTTTTTGCTTGTTTTGCTTCGTTTCTTTACAGAAGGCTCTCAAACTGCTAAATAAATAAAAACAAGCAAAACATCAGCATAATAGGGAAAATGTAAAATAAAACGACGGTAAAACATGCAAAAATAGAGTAAAATAAATGGTGTAATTTTATGCTATCATATAGTCAAGTTGGATGGTATAAGGAAAAGCAAGATCAATTGTGTTGATATTACATCATTGCAAGCAGAAAGAGCAAGTAACATGGTCAACAAAAGAACTAATGGAGGGTAAACAATCATTGAAGATGTCTTGTATATACCAGACATGAAATGCAATGTTTTAATTGTTGGTTAGCTTGTTGAGAAATGATTCTTAGAATATTGAAGAATGATGTCCTTGAACTGTTTGATTCAAACAATAAGCTAGTCTTAAGGTCTCATTTGTCAAAGAATATAATCTTAAGGAATTTGATATGATCCATAGAAGTCAAATGCCTGCAATCCATGGTTAAGATCAAGCAAAGTTAGTTGTGGAAAATGAGATTTAGCCAATTAAACTTCATATCACTCAATAAACTTGTTGCACAAGAAATGATGATTGGTATGCCAACGTTTTCAATTCTTGAGAAGCAATGTGAATGTTCTTGGTGGAGAAGCAATCCAAGAATGCTTTCAAGTCTTACCTGCCTATGATATCATCATGCATCCTAGAAGTTTTTTACTCAGATGTTTCCAAACATGACCAACTGCTACTAACAGAGTTAAGTCACAGAGTTAAGTTTCTAACTGAAAATAACTAAATAAAAAAATAGAGTAACCGAATTCTAACTAAAAACTAATTTCCAAACAGAACAACTAATTCTCTAAACCTCTTTAAAGCACCATTCAATTTTATAACACAAAATCCAGATCGTAAGGCTAAGATTCATTCACCCTCTAACTGAATTCATATTCCTACCGTATATAAAAGCCTTCCCTCTCATATTTGTTTCACTCTCTAACCACCGCAACCTCAACCTTCATCTTCTCCTCAACCTTCAACCTTCTCCATCAACCACCTCATTCTCTCTGAACCTTCACCATCATTCAAAAGGATCACTCACAGAAAATTTTTCATGTTCATTCTCTCTCCACAAATCACCATCGAACTTCCCTCTCTTCACACCTTGCACCTTCATCATCTTATTCTCATCACAACACCTTCATCCTCGTGGAAACATAAACTTCTCTACATCTACAACAACCTTCAAACTACAACAAACTCCCTATAACTGAGTTTATACTTTCGAACTTCAACCTTCATCCACTATCATATTTCTCGCGGCAAATCACTCTCATTCCTCACCTATCTCTGTGAGTCTCCATTATAACTCTACAATTATACCTCAGTTCGACTCTCAACAACAACAGAACATTCACACATTTCTCGAGAACGGCGCGAGGATAACAATTTCGGCAAGAATTCCACACGCAAGGCATATACAGAAGTTCAGAAGTAGAAGAAGATGGAGTATATTACAAAAGAAGAGACAAGAAGATAAAGGAAGGTTGTTACCTGATTTAACGGTGGTCGGGAATCTCCACCACCGTACCAGAATTTCAGGTCTCCTAAACAAGTTCTTTTATGCGCTTCTAAACTTCTATCCACGCGCCTTCCTCTATTTAGAGACCTACCTACTTCAATTTTGTGAATTTGCACTTGATTATTTCGATTTGTAACACTTAGGGTTTCCTTTTGAATTTTTCGATCCCTCAACATAGAAAACCTGTTGCAAAATCTAATGCCAATTTCGTAATCAAGACGTGAATTCAGGTAGGGTTTTTTGTTTATGAGGTATCGGTTAAGGAAGTGTGGTGGTGGTGACAGAGGCACTAGCTCGCCGGGATCCGCGACGAAGAAAGAGAAATAAGAGAAGAAATTTAATAGATTGGAGGGGAAGGGTCATAGCAAAAACGATTGCGTTTAGTCTCTTTCATTTTTCTTTAATTTTGTTGGAATATTGTGGCTTGATGTGGGCCAACAACAATGCATAGCCCATTGGATTTCACGAGGATAACCCCATATAATCTTTGCCAACACCTTTTTTGTTGTTTTTGTTAGTTTTCTAAATGGATTGGTATTGGGCTTAAGGTTCTGGGCCAAGCGCATTTCACTGCTTTTACACCACTATTTCGAGCCTATATACCCCTTACTGCGCATAAATCCATTGCTACTGTTTTTTGGCAATCTGAACTTTGAAGAAAAAAACTTATTATGGACTTATTTTCTGGACTGGACTTAGATATTGCTAACTTACACCTCTTGCCTGCTGCTTGCACCCCTGACCATAGTCTTTAGATTTTTCTATATTTCTTTTATTGGTTTTTGCTAATAAGAATTAGTGAGTTTTAGGAGATAATTAGAATAATAAAAACAATAAAAAATGATAGAATATGATATAATTTTTCTAGAAATTCTTTAGTTCTTTGATAGAATTTTCTACGCATGAAAAACTAATATAAAAAATACTTTTTCTTTTAGTTTTTATTCATATTTTCATATCGTCGTGCCTCGTTATTTTTGACACGTTTGTTCATCGTGCAAGGTACATTTTTTATGCTTTTGATCATGTAACATAACAAGTTGTTATGTGATCAAGTCATATGGCTCATGATCACTTTTGATGCGACACACCTTATTTCTCATTGTCTTGAGAAATTTATATCATATTATATGTTGTCCAGATGCATGTGATATTTTATGATACTTTACGCAAGAACTTCTAATTATGCGTTGCATTCACAACACGCGTTTGCTTTTATCTTAGTTGGATATCGTTTTTTACTTTTTTTTGTTTCTTGGTGAAGCTTGCTCGACGCATACTCCTTGCTTCTCCATTTCTTTCGTCCACTTTCAATGATTTGCTTGCTTTTGGTAGTCGCCGCTACTGCTTCTATATTTCTCTGCACTTTATCGCATTTCTTTATTGCTTTCCTTGCCATGAGAAGTAGGACTAGAGATGTATGATGGGGATCTCCGTTGTTGATCATGTCAGGAACCCCTCTGGTTTATTTAAAGACCCATTTAGGGAAATTCCGTATTATGTGCATTTTGTCTGCTATCTGTGTTTGTTTAAAACCCTACCTTTGAAGTAGGTATTCTACAGGTGTGTTTATATTCGTGCCCACATATATTACAGATTAAAAGTCCTCAAAAGGAGGCGAGCGGAAAGGGTTCACAATCAACCCCTATAATTTCGTCTGTGTCATCCTTAATTCTTGACGCACCATGATGCTTCAGAATTGTGCCTTCTCTTGTTATCGGGTCATCAAGTGGAAAATGTTTTTGCAGTCAAACCCCCACACTTTGTCAGGAGTTCACATTGGCCGATGCTGACACTCTGTGATTGGTCATACTACCTTCTGTCGCCTACCTCTATCTTCTATATCTTGGTTAGATGTTCAGTCGCTTTGGACATCACATTTTTGTTTTACATCATATTCCCGCTTGTTTGCTTCAGGTGATTCGCTCCCCTTAGCTAAAGCATTTCTCTTCTTTTATTTTCATTCCCGCTTGTTTGTCTCAGGTGATACGCTCCCCTTGACTAAAGCATTTCGCTTCTTTTCCTTACCATTTTATGTGTGTGCTCCTTCGAGCTTGCTTGTTTTATCCTTGTACATATCATGTTCCCTTAGGATGCGCTTGTTCCTTTCGAATGCAAGTTAGACCTTAGGTTGCAAAACATGCATGCTAACATTAGGTAGACATTTCCCTTTTTGTTAATCCAAACCTTACAACTATCATTGTGTGATGACATTGGGGGTAGTGCTAGGCTAGTCTCCCTTAGTTGTTTTCTCCCTTTTGCATGTGCATTTAAACTACAACTTTCCTCTTCTTAGCAAATCATATAACATGCTAATCACACTTAAACCCTTTTTCAAGGTAACAAAACACAAACCGATCAAACGTGACATCTTACCTTGAGGGCGTAACTCAAAACCACTTTCAAGAAATGACATGTTAATTTACTTATGTGCCAACATGGGAGTCTCCAAAGGTCGAGCTGCGGCAGAAGGAGGAATTAGAATTATTCATAAAAAACATAAAACAAACATAAACGTTAGCCGAACTATGATAACTATGATTCCTCAAAAAGGATATGTAGGTATTGGGGTAGGGCCCAAGCAAGCACAACTTTATTTTCCCTACATTATTCTCTCTTTTCTTTTGCTTGCATTCTTCCTCAGTAGTAAGTAGTAAGCGTAGATTAGACACACCCATGAGATAGATAACAAGAGTGGATACCATATAGTACTACAGGCGTGTGGGGTGCTAATACCTTCCCCTCACGTAATAGACTCCCTTACCCAATCTCTCGGTTGCAAGACCGTGACTTCTCCCTTCTCAGGTTTTCTCGATGTTTACCTATCCCTTCATGTGGGATAAAAGACGTTCGATGGCGACTTCATTATTTGATGATTTTCAGTCAGTTGTTTCAGCTGGAGAATTCACTGGGGATAGATCGACCAAATGCCGATCCATCCCAGAGTCACTCCTAGCTCTTGTTTTCTTTTCCTTGAGTGTTTATTTTTTATGCTTTTTGTTTATTCATTCATACATTATTATCTGAGCATATGTATACATTGCATTTTACTGCTTTCCATATTGATTATCTGTTGTGCTGGCTTCTGGTTTTCCATGTTGGGTGGGTGTTACTATGAGGTAAAAGGCCCAATACCCAGGCCAAGTGACAACCATAGGAATCCTAGGAATAGAGTAGAACATGTCGGCTAGTTGACTTAGGTTTCACTATTGCCGTCATATCGCCCACGCTCATATGTGGTACAAATAAAGGGCTATCATTTTCACTTAGGTGATACAACGATAGTTTTTCAAGAGTACTCTCGATTATGAGTTACCCGACCTTACCCTAGCCTAGTTTTCACCTGTGAGTGGGGAGGGAATTATTATCACATGTGTGATACGGTGGGAGAACTGACTTGAGGTTTTGCGTTTGTTTTCGCAAATGTTTCGATTGAGCAAGAGTCGCCACCGACTTTTTATTTTATCCTAAGGAAAGGTTTAAAAAGCACAGCAAAAACCTTTGAGATGTTTTCTTGGGTTCGGGGAGTAGATTATAGAAAGGGAAGTTATTAGCACCCTTTCTATCCATGGTTATCCATGGGCTCTTAGTTACTTGCTTAGATCAACTTGCCTTAATTTTCAATTGTTTGAAATGGTGCTTTGTGTGTGTGGGTTTGAAAATGTTTTGAAAAAGAGGCCAATGTGGTGGCAACCTTTGTAATGATCCATGTTGGGATGTATACAAAGGTGTATGTCTTTTGAAAAGGTTTTCATTTGTTTTTGAAAGTCGTTTTTTGAAAGTGTAGTGATGTGTGGTTTAGAAAATAGGCAAGTGTTTTGTTTTGCAAGTTGGCAAGTAACTAAGAGTTTGTCTACTCCTAAATTTCTCAAAGATTTCTCCTATGTTTTTAACCCTTTTAACAATTTTGTTCCACCATTGTATTTGGTGGACAATCTTGTGTTAGGATGTGAAAGGGACGGGCGTGGGTCATCTTTTAGACCATAATTGCAATGGTGCCAAGTATCTTTGGGCAATTTTCCTTTAAGGGACTTGATCATTTTTTAGGCAACTTTCGAAAGCGTCATTGAGGGACTATGATCATTTGAATTGTATTTGTTTTGCCCAAAGAGACCTAACATGCAATATGGCCCATTATTGAAGGCAGCAAGTGGAATACCCTAGGGGTGCAAGTGTGATTAGTGTTGTCCATTTTCATGCTTGATTATCTTGAAATTAGGTCAAACTATTTTTGTTGTTTTTGATTCGCATACAAACCCTAATTCTAACATGGCATAATTAGAAAGCATTAAAGTGCGAAAAATAAAGTTCCTAAGTTATTACAACACAATATATGGGAAGGGGGGTACAAATGTTCAAATGGGGATATTTTGACAAGGAATTTAAACCTAGACTATTACATCAAATTGAGAATTTACAAGATATTTAATATACAACAATTAAATAAAAATGGAATAAATATGCAAGATGCAAAAATGTTTTTTTTATGTGTATGAAAAAAAGTATTTTTTTATATGTTAAATAAAACAAAATAAAAGTATTATTTTTTGGAGTTTTTTATGTATTTAGGGCAAAACCCTAATTTATTAAATAAAAGGTATTAATTATTTAATATGTACAATATTTAATAATTATGTATAAAAATAAAATAAAAATGAAGTATATTTGTCAAAAAGGTATTTTTTTATGTTAAATATTAATAAAAAATAAAATGTGTATATTTTGTATTTTTCCCTAAATATGCTAATAAATATGTGTGTATTTGTATTATTTAATAAATATATTAAACATGTATAAAAATAAAATATTTAATATTTACAAGAAAAAGTATATTTTCATAAAATATTTTCACAAGATAAAATAAAATAAAAAATCAGAAAAATAAAATGTATGGGTATTAATTTTAGTATTTTTAAATAATAGTATATAAGTATTTATTTATGTACAAATATCAATTTAAACTAATAAAAGCCTAATAAATATAAAAATGGTGTAAATTTTTTTTTTTATAATTTTAATATTGTGAGGAAAAATAAATAAGTCAGAACAAAAAAGAAAAGGTCAAAAAATCATAAAAATAAGCATAATGGGCGAAGGGGGTTTAAAAGTAACAAAAGGGTGCAAATAGAAATATGAAACAGAGCCCAGCCCAAAAAGTCCTTCTTCAACCTCCAGA